ATTTAAAATATAGAGCAGCTAAGGTTCTTTTTCATGTTAGTAGTGAATCTTAAATATTTGGACATGATCTTGACTCACAAGTAACATTGGGAATTGTTTGACTATATGCGTATTCCAAAGAACATGGCCTCGCAATTAAAGGATAAACTATTTGAAGTAAAGTGTTGTTTAATTATGTTTGAGTTAACTCCTATCTCAATCAAGAGTAAGATACTCTTTAATTTGTCTATTGAATGAATATGTAATCGAAATAGGGTGTAATATCCCACATAAGGTAAATTTTTGGGGTTTGTATTAGTAAGTAATGCCACTAATTAATGGACATATATTCTATCACGCAAATGTTCCTAGTAGGAATTTCCTAACCAGAACATCGTTTTGCCACCTCCATTTGAAGTGCTTTTGAGTGGAATTTTTGATGAAGTTTTGTGAACATATTTTCCATGAAGCGTAGACTGTCCACCAAATTTCAGTTTCAAATTCAATCGGAAAGTTAGTTAAATAAATTATTGAAAAACATTACAATATATATATATATATATATATATATATATATATATATATATATATATATATATATTAGTGCATTGTTTTTCAATATTTTATTTAGCTGACTTCTTGATTGAATATTAAGCTAAAATTTTGTAGATATAATCTATACTTCATGAAGAACGTCACACAAAATTTCATCAAAACATTTCTCGCAAAAGCACCTCAAATGAAAGGTAGCTGGATGACGTTCAGTCACGAAATTTCTGACCGGAAGATTACTCTATTCTATCATGTGTTTAATACAAGTATTAATAAGAAGTAATACATTATATTACTGGTAGAACTTAATAAATAAGTATTTAAGTTACTTTTTAATAAAAAGAAGTTGTGCTCCAAATAATTCTATGTTTAGATAACCATTCCAGTTCAAATTGTGCTGAATTTTGATTAGACAATTAATTCACACATATTCTTGTTTGGATGAAACAATGAATTTGGCTTGATGTAAAATTAACTAACTCATTTGAAAGATTACCATTGCAGAGCCCTAGTTTAATCCTTTAATTTAACACAATCTTTTTTCAACTTTATCCATTCGTTATTCAACATTATCTTGATCTATTAAACTTTAATTTTATGATAATTTTACATTTTCAATTGTTATTTTAGATGTATCGACACAGGATTAAAATTGTATGGTTGAAATTTATGTAAAGGAAAGAGAATTAACTCAAATCACAAATTCTTTACTTAAAAGTGAAAGTGACCAAGTTGGTGGGACAAAAAAAGTTGACAAAGTTTTAAAGGACAAAGAGAATAATATATTTCAATTTTCAACTTGTTTTTCAAGCTACTCATCACATATTCCTAACTGCATTGGACTCTCTCTCTAGGGTTACCCACCGGTAAAGCCTAGGCTTCTCCGCAGCCACCGGCTTCTATCTGGCCAACGCCAGGAGTCCGCGCGAAGCGAGGGATTTGTTGCCGGGCTTCGCTCTCGAAGCGTCAGAGGTTACCTGCGGAAGTTAGTTTCTAGCGGCGAGTTGGCTTTCGAATTGTCTTTGGGACAGGGGCGACTGGATGGATAGCGTGGTGGACAAGTACAGAAAGATAGTTTTGGCGAAGGAGGAGGAAGATCCGGATCTCGATGATACAGAGGCATGCGAGGAGTCGAAGGAGGAAAACAGGTCGGGCTTCCCTGTGGTAGGGGTGCTGCTGATGGACCGAAAGGTCCGCTTTCCGTCGCTATGGAGACCGGGTAAAGGTCTATCAGTCAAAGAAGTCGGGGAGAAAAGGTATCTGTTTACTTTTTATCACCGCCTAGATATGAATCGTGTTTTGGATGGAGGACCATGGAAATTTGAGAAAAATTTGTTGTTATTAAAAGAGGTTAAACCTGATGATATTCCTCATAAAATTGTCCTGAATGAGGCTGACTTCTGGGTCGAGGTTCATAATGTACCATATAGCTTGGTTAATTTAGGTACGGCCAGGAAAGTTGGAAATTTTATAGGAAAATTTATAAAATATGATGACAATCAGAATAGTGAAAAGTGGGAGACCTATATGAGAATTCGAGTGTGTATGAATGTGGAAAAAGCTCTGGAAAGGGGTACTAATCTGAAGAAGGATGGCAAAAGTTTTTGGGTTGATTTTAAATATGAGAGGTTGCCAAACTTCTGTTTTATTTGTGGATTAATTGGACACTCAGACAAGTTTTGCCATTTAAACTATGAAGAAGATCTAGTATTGGAGAAAAACTTTGGAGTTCACCTCAGAGCAAGTATTAGAGGAAAGACGAGTCCTACAGGGGGAAACCAATGGCTGCTGGAGGGTTCATCGAGCTCTGGCAGAGACCAGGGGTACGGGGAAGGGGCGAAATTTGAGGATAGAATGAGAGGTGGGAGAAAAGAATCAAGGACTGAGTCAGAACAGAGTATAACAAAAGGTATAGGTGGCGAGAATAAGGAAGAAGGCACAGGAGAACAAAAGCGCATGAGGTTATGGGAGACACAGGAAGAGCGGGGCCGTCTTTAAGACTATGGAGGCCCTAGACGAAAATATATTCAAAAAGTGTTTGTGTTTGCTTCTATTTGAGAAATGTTTTTTTAAAATGATTTTAGAAAAATACTCAATACTAAAAGTTGATAATATTTGAAAAACAATACTAAAATGTTTTTTAATGTTTTTTGAAAAATAAAAGTTAGTAGTGTTTGATTAAAATGTTTTTTTGTATAATAGAAAAGGTGAAGAGCCGCTTAAAGCAATTTTTCACCTAATTCTAGTTTTTAGCTTTTAATTGTTTTAAATTCTTAATTCAAGCAGAAACCGCTCCTTGAAAACACTCATTTCAGTTTTTAAATGAAAAAGGTGGAAAGTACATTTTATAAATTTTCCAAGCACTCCCTTAATATTGAAATATTATATTATCATATTCATGTAATTTATAACACCAAAGCATACAAAAATCAATATCAGATAAATTTAGTAAAAACACACATTTTGAGAAATGTGATGCTCATATTTGATTGTAGTTATGTTATTACGAATTATGCACTTTTAAAAGTAAGAAGAATAAGACATAAAAATTATAAGTTTAGTGCGTGCGCATGTTTGCAATTTTAAAAAAATCTTTTGACCTCAAGTACGTATCAATATATATACCAATAAGGTAAAAATAGAATAATTGAATAAATTAAAATTGACCCATACCTAATTATAACTCTAGCGTGACTAACAAAATTTTAACTTATAATTTTATTTAAAATTATAGACTACATATATACATCAAATGTATGAATGAAGTCCTTACTGCAGGTTCAGTGGTTCAATGGATTGATTTTATTTTGAAATTCAAATTTAATTTCACATATACCAAGTATAATACTTAAGGTTTTGTTTACTTTGGAGGCCCCCTAAAACTTGGGGCCTTAGACATTTGTCTAGATCAAATGGCCCCATGACCGACCCTAAGGAAGAGGATCTGCAAGGGAAGGAAAGTATGGCACTAAATGAGACAAAAAACGGGAAGGAGGCGGGCTTCGAGCAGTAGGCCCGCCTATGAAGACAAAGAACCAAAGGTCAGGAATCTTGATAAGGGTGCAAAGCAAGCAGATTAGGGGGCAGATAATTATTTCTTATGTTAGTTTTTATTATTTTTCAGACTGTTCCGTTTGTTTTTTATTTTGGTTTGCAATTGTGATTCCTGTTTGTAAGGCTTTGAGTTTGGATGTGGGTGACAGTGGAATTAGGGTAACCGTTTATGGCTCATCTGTGCCCATTAATGGATCAACGAGTTATATTGCTTTGGATAAGGTGGTTAACTCTGAATCTGATTCGCGGGACAACGGTTGTCAGAATTCTATTTGTCGGAGTACCCATCATCTGAATGTTGAGATTTCAATTTAAGCCAAATTCTTCCAAAAAAAACTTGTTTTTCCAAACGTAGTTTAAGTTGTACATAGACACAACATAATGGGATTTGATCAACGACATAAGTTGAAGGATTACAAAAAGATGTTTGGTAGTTTAACTGTATGGATGTAGAAATTTATATAAAATGGTCTATTTCAAAAACCTAATCCAAAACATTGCTATTTGCGGTGTTTCCATTTCAACAATTTCATTTAAAAATACTAAGATAGAACAACTATTTATCATATAATGTTTTCGCTTATTAAAAACACTGACTAAAAGATCAAACCACTATATTTTGACTAAAATGTCATTTCCCAAACACTCACAATACCTGGACAATGAAACCAATGTCCTGAGCAGGTCCATAATATTACAAGTGAATCACAACTAAAATTTTCGTATCTCGGACTTTCTCATTTTTTGAATTTATTTCAATCCACAGCCTAACAAGACCACACACCTAAATAGAACAAAAATAATCAAATAAATGGAATTATCCCTAAGCTCCTGGCCCCTAATAAATTTCACATTTCGGCCCAGGCAAGGTGAAATTTTTAAGCTCCGAGCCCCTAATAAATTATTCCTAGCTCTGCCACGGTAGAATAAAGGGAAAATGGAAACTAATAATCCAACATTTTAATGCTCTTCTTACAATAGTCCCACTTTTTCCTTATTCAGGAATAATCCAACCTTTGCACCCCATCTTCATTCAATGGTCTCTGACCGGTTGATGACTTGTTATTCCAAGTTATTTTCCTATCTTTGCAAAACATTATGTGACCATAAGGTGAGATTTATGGTATAATATATTACAAAGATAAGAAAATAACTTGGAATAGCAGGTTATCAATCGGTCAGGGACCAACGAATGAAGATGGGGCGCTAAAATGTTGGATTATTAGTTTCCATTTTCCCTAGGATAAATGGATAATATTCGGTTAATGAATTTTCCTTCCAAGATGTTTTGAAGTAAAATCAAGACAAAAAGTGAACAACTACATGATTTAACTAATCATATAGTTAATTCTCTATTTTAAGACTAACAAATAAAAACAAATCAATAAAACAAAAAAGACTAATCCCTTCCTTTAAACCCTAAAACAAACAAGCCCTTACTAAACAACCAAAGATAACATATTCATTTGATAAATGAAAGGCAAAAAAAGAAACAACATGGAAGGTGGGAACACTAGAATTTGGACAGGGAGGTACACACCAATTATTATCACAACATAACAAAAATATATATTATGTCCAAGAATGCTCCATGCCCACCACCAACTAGCCTTGCTAATTATTAAAAGAGTTAATACCAGTTTAGTCCCTTGACTATATATTTTAATACAGAGTATATTACTCATTTACTCAGTCTTGTCCTCAACTTTCTTTTTAGACTCAAATAACTTAATTTGGTTCTTGACTACAATAGAGGCCTAATTTAGCCCTTGGCTAAATTTTACTGTCATTTTGGATGGTATCTTCATCCGCTACTGATCCAATGTAGATGATTGAAGACACCAAATATAGTGAATTGACAAAATATTCTTTTATTTCGAACCAAATACATTATAATAAAATTCCATATAGGGAGACCAAATTGATTAACAGTGGATAGTCACATGGACTAAACCGAGGATTAACTTCTAATCTTCTATTCAAATGGCCAGCTAGAGTACTCACTAACATGATGGTGATGATGACTATACTGCAGGTTGGTGGCCTCTATGTTGGTTTCAGGAACTCCACCACGGCGGCGTGAACCAGAACGCGAAGACCTGAAGGGCCACAAGAAAGACCACATTCTCCTCCCCCTCTCCCTTCTCCTCTCAAAAAGTCTCATTGAGTTGGTTCTGATTTGACTCCGGGTGTCACTATGGTCATCACAGTGATCACCCAATCTCTCTGGTTCCATCTCCCGGCGACAAACCGGGCAGGAATTACGTTGTTGGAGCCACGGAATGATACAATCCGAGTGATATAAATGATCGCAAGGGAGTTTTCTTACTTCGGTCCCCATTTCGAACTTATCTTTACAGACTGGGCAATGAAGATCAGACCGGACATGCTTTCTTGATATATTGACCTTAGGAAGGGACTCAATTGAAGATCTTGAAGCCGCTTGAGGGACAGATCGGTTGTTATTGCTGCTGATGATATCATCAAAGAACTCTTCCACGCCAGGACCAATGAAATAATCGCCTCCTCCATGTTCTCTTCTGAATCCGAGAGCCTCGTTCAGAAACTCTGTCACCCCTCCTCCTCCACCGCTATTGCCTCCAGCTGGCACCTCGCCGCTGAAAATCAGCAATGGGTTCCAAGAAGGGTTACTCGGCTCAGGCTGCCGCCTATCTGGTCTTGATGATGACATTTGCCGCCTCAAGAAGCTGGAGATGGCTTCCATGAACCTCGACTGCCGTTGGTGGTAGTTATCCTCACCATCATATTCAGTTTCAGTGGCCGTCACTTCATCAAGATCTTGCACAAACCCTCCATCGCAGTTAGGGCAAGTCACATTTTGTCTTGTAAGGTTTATTGGCTGTCTGCAGCTATAGCACCAATGGCTGCATCTGTCGCTTGACATTCTTACTCCTCACTTTTCACCCTTCTAGAATGCAAATGAAGGCAAATGAGTTTACAAGCAATTACGTTAGAGTACTGAATAGGTTTATCACGACCCAATAATGAACTCCACTCTCTTCCTTGATCAAGAAAAACTAAAGCTCGGATTTTTATTACTTCTCATTAAAGATTGTGTGAGAATCGAGATTCCAACCGCACCACAAATTATGTACTTTAACAGATTCAAAGATATCTACGAACAAGAAAAAAGAAATCGGAAGAGGATCGAGATTCGGAAACTGGAACAAATTATAAAGAAAAAGGAAAAAACAGAATATAAGACTCTCACCTAAAGTAATTTATGATTTATGAATCCGAACAGTGGACTAGCATTCAAAATTCACAAAGAAATGCGCCCACCCTCAATCCGCCTAGAACCCTAATGCAATACTTAGACAGTTATGAAATAAATACCCAATCTTGCGCTGAATCACAAACAATAAGGGAAGAAACGAGAGGAAAGTAAAGAAGAAATGTAAATAGGATAAGATTGAGAGGCACTTGGAATTGTACCTCTCTATTTAAGACGCTGAAATTTGAAGAACCCAGGGAGAGAATTTGCATACGGCCAGTGGAGAGGGGGGACAGATGGGCATGGAGATCCGAAAACTGGGACGAAGACAACGAGACTTGAGAGCAAGTCAGCAAAAGAAAGGAGAGTGAGTGAGTTTAATAATGATATGACATGGTGTGTGTTGGTTTTTCCTTTTTTAGTACGGAGAAATTAGTTTTTTTTTTCAATTAGATTAGATATTTTTAATTGCGATACCCATAGAATCCGGATTACCTTCCACAGTGTACGTCACATATTTTTAATATTGTCTTTCCTAACATTGAAATGAGAGAATTCTCTAAATAGGATTAAAAGAAGGTAGAATTACAAGAATATGACTACAATGTTTTATTGAGCAAAAATATAACTAAAAAGAGTTAATACGACAAAACTACCTTTAATGAAAACAATTCCTCCCTTCTGTTGCCTTTCCTACCTTCCACATTTTCATTCTTTTCTACGCAGGAAGCCACCATCACGTCAGGAGCGTCGGCTAAGGCCAATACGAACGTCTCCTAGGACGTACGTCCCCAAGAGGCCACCAAGGCCCAATTGCAAGACGTACATACGTAACCTTGGCCTTGGGAGCAGGCAGGACACATGAGGCAAGCTCATAGGGACGAACGTCCCCACCCCTTGGCAGGAAGACAAGATCCTGGCAGGACACAGGAGGCAAACTCATGGGAATGAACGTCCCCACTCCTTGGCAGAAAGCCAAGATTCTGGCAGGAGGCGGGAGGCAAACTCATGGGAACGAATGTCTCCACTCATTGGCAGGAAGCCAAGATCCTCACGGGAAGCAGGATGCAAGCTCATGAGGGCGAACGTCTCCACTCCTTGGCAGGAAGCCAAGATCCTGGCGGGAAGCAGGAGGCAAGCTCATGGGGACGAACATATCCGCTCCTTGGTAGAGATGGCAATTTCGGCCGACCCGTTGGATACCCGCACCGAACCGATTTAGTCAAAATGGGGAAAACCGGTTTGACTGGGGAACGGGTACGGGGCTGGGAATACCCGATTTTTTTAAATGGATAATGGTGTGTGTTGGGCCGCGGGTATGCAGTGCCAGCAATCTGTCAGCCTGGCGGTGCAATCGAACCGTGTGGCGCTTCGCTTGTGCTATAAAGGAGGAGGAGTGTGCTACACTATCAGCGATTGCTTTTAGTGTAGCGGTAAGCGCAACGATCCACAAGTGGTATCAGAGCCAAGGTCACGGGTTCGATCCCCAGCAACAGCATGCTGCACAGTTGAGATTGGCCGAAGCTGGGGGGGAGATTGTTGAGCCGCGGGTATGCGGTGCCAGCAATCTGCCAGTCTGCCGGTGCAATCGAACCGCGTGGCGCTTCGCTTGTGCTATAAAGGGGGAGGAGCGTGCTACACTATCAGTGATTTCTTTGAGTGTAGCAGTAAGCGCAACGATCCACAGTACGGTTATGGTTCTATGCTAATTCGCCCCGTTATCCGCCCCGAGACCGCCCCGTTCACTAATGGTGCGGGTACCCGCACCGTTACCCATCTGTAACATTATTAATAAATTATAACTCTTTATATATAAGAATAATAAGCATATATGCTAACTCGTGTACACTAAATCGTATATACCATATAAGTATATAAAGAATAATACACTAGAGGCTCACTTCAAAAACCCTAACATCCCTAACTCATAGTTAATTTAATGGCGTAATGAATTTAGGCCTAATAAAACTGTTTTTTGAGACGGATTACTACTTTTTTAGAGCTCAAACTAAATTTAGGCTTAAAATTGTTTAAAATTGTTTATTGAATTTAGATTTTGCGATGATTACTACTTTTTTATTATCATACAAGAGATATTGGGTGCTTGTCATACTAATTAATTTAGGTCTAGAATTGCTCGATTGCTTGAATATTTACCTTTGTATGTTTTATGGTGCTTTGAATATATAATTTATAATTTATAAGTCCGTGGAAGTTTTCCTATTAGTTATTTTTATTTTGTCATTTGGCTTCTTGTAATCGTCTATGTTTTTAGGTTTGTCAGTTTGTTTGAGAATTCAGCCTTTTTTTATGTCATTGAGTATGTTTGGATCTATGGGAACGGGGATGGCTGTGTCAAGCCCGCTACATGGTTAGCGATTCGCGTTGCTCTTTCAGGGGTGACTGTCTCTAAATCTTATTATAGGGTTTACGATCGTAATTGTTGGATTTTAGGTGGTATCAGTTTTGTTTTTCCTTTGATTGATGTAATGATCCTGAAACTTATGATATGAAAGAAGGCTAGTTGACGATAAAAAAATCCATTCTTTACTCTAAAATTCTTCATAATTTCCTGATTTTCCTCTCTATTGTTCCTATAATATTATTTCCTATAACATGAGTTATTTTTAGGGTTTTATAAGTCTACGAACTAAAAAATAGATGAATTATAAATCCAGAACCTCAAATATGAAATGTGTTTGTATAGAGCTAGAATGATTATAAACAATCAATATATGACCTAAAATTCCATAAATTTTGATTTGTTTATTTATTTTTAATTTCATTGCTAATTTTTGATGAATTTTTCTCCACAAAAATTTATTAGTTTAGTAAACATAAACGATACTTAAAATATTTAAAATAAAAAATAATAAATTTCGTGACAACTTAGGTCATAGATTGATAGTTTTCAATAATTCGGGTCCTATACTGGCACATTTCATATTTGAGGTTGTTAGGAAATTGATGTAACGTACCTCGAAAGTACTGCAGCGGAAGTTTAAAATTTTCCCAAACAGATCTTCCTTGATTATGACAAAACAACGAATATAACAATGATAATAGATCTGAATTAGAACTTACACATATTCCAGCCTAGCGGTTATAATCCTTGACCTTAGGTATCCACGTGATTTCTCCTTTCCGAAAGAATAGTTAGATCTCCCTAAGAGAAAGGCTAGGAAATCTCTTCGCAAGGAAATAAACTGGTAATACTGAATCTAAAAACTGGTCTATCAATTATGAAGGAGGAGGATGTATTTATACTAGTTCTAAACTAGTTTCCCAATCACAATGAAAGTCTTTCTAATTAATGAGTTCTAATCATGCTAGAACCAATACTCCTAATTAATTAAATAAGTAGATAAAACAAAACAAAATAATAATAATAATAATTGAGATGTGGCTGCATGCCACTTTCTAATTATTATATATTAATATTTATTTTATTTACTTTTTTTTTATTCCAAATTACAAAAGAAAATATATACTTTATTTAATAATAAATACATCTTATTTAAGTATGATAAATCTAATTTATCTTACTTAAGTAATTCTATCAAATAGAACTCTCCTTCAAGTTCATGAATTAAATATGTTTAATCTAATTAATATTTAATTCATTTTCAGTATTACGATTTAAATATTATTTAATCGGATTAATAATATTTAATTCCTTCTAACAATTCAATCGGAAGGTATAATCACTTGTTGTGTGACCCATAGGGCCTTATATATTAAGCACTAATCAAATTAAGGTCTTTGTGAATCCCAAGACGATTCTCCAGACAAACTTAATATATAAGGACGTTTGTGAGGACTATACAAACTCCCTATAATATAGAGCTCATAGTGATACGGTCCTTTCATTAAGAGAACATTCAACTAAGTCTAGAACTTGATATTGTGTCTATTCCAATAACTTAGTCTTTATCTCTCAATCTTTCTAGATGATCCATAATGATCATATTCGATATCCAAAACGAATATATCTTTGCACTCTCGGCGCGTCTCTCTGCTTCAACATTTGTTTACAGCATCCTAGAGAGCCCTTGCAAAGAGGCGCCATGTTGATCTATCAGGATATTTTGACTAATGACGAACTTCTCTCTGATTCATTTCCTTACAAGGAAATTGAGGGAGGACTGTTATGGGAAGTTGAGGGAAAGTGGGTTGTTCAAGGAGCCATTGAGGTAGATATTGGAGCAAACCCATATGCAGAAGGTGGTGAAGAGGATGATGGTGTGAATGACACGGCCACTAAGGTTGTTGACATCGTTGATACGTTTAGACTCCAGGAGATAGCTAGCTATGATAAAAAGAACTTTGTAGTATACATGAAGAAATACATTAAAGCAATATCCGGTAAGTTGACTGGGACTGAACTAGAGGAGTTCAAGAAGAAAATTGAGCCAGCAACGAAGTACCTGCTCGCAAGGCTCAAGGATTTGCAATTTTTTGCTGGCGAGAGCTGTACAAATGATGGCAGTCTTGTGTTCGCTTACTACAAGGAGGGTGCCACTGACCCTACATTCATCTACCTTCCCTGTGGTCTCAAGGAGGTTAAGTGCTAAGTGGTCGATTACCCATGGTGACATGATGGTGTGTTCAACTAGAACTATATATGTTTTCTTGTAGTGCTAGCTCCTAATATTTGTATTTTTTGTGCTTGTGTGATGGGATTCTCAAAGTTTATGTTATGTATTGTATCTTTCATTTTTGAAGAATGATGATTGCTTTTTGCTTCTAAAAAAAACGAATATATCTTTGCATTGGCCAATGACTTTATGATCCATCTAGATATGAGAAGTATAATGTTCTCTCGTAATCTATTATGAGGAATGAATTCTTTCTTGGCTCAACTACTACTCCATGTGCTTCGTGATGCACCCAACACATCCTGTATCTACCCCGATCGGAGTGCAAGCGTTGGTCATGGTCAAAGTACATCACTCCGTGTTGGGTCGTAGGCCGCGGGTAGGCGGTGTCAGCAATTTGCCAGCCTGTCGGCGTAAAGGAAACGTGGCGCTTCGCTTGTGCTATAAAGGGAAAGAAGCGTGCTACACTATCAGCAAATGCTTTTAGTGTAGCGGTAAACGCAACGATCCACAAGTGGTATCAGAGCCAAGGTCACGGGTTCGACCCCCGGTGACAGCATGTTGCGCAGCTAAAGGCTGGCAGGTGCTGGGGGGAGATCGTTGGGTCGTAGGCCGCAGGTAGGCGGTGCCAGCAATCTGCCAACCTGCCAGTGTAAAGGGGTAAAGAAACGTGGTGCTTCGCTTGTGCTATAAAGGGAAAGAAGCGTGCTACACTATCAGCAATTGCTTTTAGTGTAGCGGTAAGCGCAACGATCCACACTCCCCACATGTAGTACGTATTGACCTCAAGTCGGAGGACTATTACACTACTCCATACGCCAATAATCCCATAGACACATGAATAGAACTTATCAAATGGTTTCTCGGTGGGTATGCCAATATTCTCTAAAATATCTATGTGACCATCATGAATTACAGAAACTCATAGTTGTGAGATCAACTATACTTTCTAAAAGTATGATGCAGTCCACATACCAATCTTATCGCATATCATCAATATCCCACTCTTGATGATCATTGATTGGGGCTATTTTAGGACCTTATGTTATATCATATAAGCTCCCATTTACTTATTGACAACATAAGTCCAAGGGAACACAATTATGAATAAGATATTGACAATCGAAATACTTAATCATCAATGTGTAATACCGTTTATATCAAATATATAAAACTGAATGTGATCAAATACATATATCTCTAAAAAGTGATTGTCGCTAGGACATATATATACTAACAATCTCCCATTTGGCCTAGTGTCAATCACCAATGCATCTAACACCTAGACTCTCAAAAGCCTACAATGTTTCTCGCATCTCAAAGGTTTGGTGAATGGGTCAGCCAAATTGTCCTCTACGGGAAGCCATTCTATTTTAACTTCTCATCTTGCTACTTGTTATCAAAACACGATATCATACTGCTATTTTCTAGTTCCTTACTTTGCATCTTGGTTCCTTAGCTTGTGCAAATGCACCGATACAGTCACAATAACAATTATTGGATAACTGTCGCTAGGAACTACCCCTATTTCTTTAAGGAACTAACGTATCTAAACGCTTACCTATGTTGCATCAAATGCAACAATTTACTAGGCTCTAGTTGTCGAATTTACAATAGTCTCTTACTTGCAACTCTTGCAACATTGCTATTACATTGAGACTAAAAACATATACTGACTGTGACTCGTAGTCTTTCTTATCATACATGAAACTAGTGCTAGAATAATTAAATTCTACTAGTTCTTTCTGTCTATCATAGACAAAAGATATTCATAAAGATTTTGGGTGACCATTCTTTCACTGACTTCAATGAGGGGCTATCATTCTCTATTATCAACATATATGATTATAAAGACCACACTATCCTTGTTGCGCACTCTAATCACGCAAGCACCCTCATTTCATTTGATGAGGTCAAATGATTTGACTATTTCATCAAAATCAATATTTCAACTCCTAGAGGCTTGTTTTAGCCTATAAATAGATTTCTCTAATCAACATAGTGATTTAGAATTTGACTTGGATGCAAAAACCTTCAGGTTGTACCATGTACACCTCCTCCTTGAGATTTCCATTAAGGAAATGGGTTTTGACATCCATTTGTCAAATCTCATAATCATAGTATGCAACTATCACAGGCAAAATCCGAATGGACTTGAGTTTTGCAACTGGCGAATAGGTATCACTATAATCAATTCCTTCTCTTTGACTATAACCTTTAGCCACTAGCCTGGCTTTGTATGTTTGCACCTTACCTCCAACATCAATTTTCTTCTTGAAAATCCTTTGCATCCAATGGGTCTAACCCAACAGGCAAGTCAACCAAGTTCCATACTTGATTGATATACATCAAGTCCATTTTAGATTACATGGCATCTCGTCACCTCTCTAAATCAACATCTAACATTGCTTTAGTATAGGTCTTAGGTTCATCCTGATACAGGAATCTCAACATCATCATGATCCTCCATGAGGAAGTTAAACCTAGTTAGTTCATGACGAATCCTTGTAGACCCACAGAGTTGAATGTTTTGCATTTTGTTCAGGCTATTCATTCTGATCATGAAGGGGTTCTCTTTCATTGGACTATCCAATGCTCAGAGAGCTTTCTGGTGTTATACTCAGAGAGGGAGAGTTAGGTGCAGAAGGAATGACAACCATGCTATTACTTTCTTCATAAGAATCACTTGCTGGTGCGAAGCGCTTCCTATATTACTCCCACTAGCTAAAGGATATCATCCTAGAGACATTCTTCAACTTAATTCTTCCACTGAATTCTTCGTCAGACCATCTAACAAATCTTCATTCTCTATGTTACTTCAGCTTTCAATTTGATTAGTGCACATTTCTTTACATATGTAGGGCAACCCATATTTAATATGTGAAGAAAATGTCTTTTATTATACTATAACTCATATAGTACGTTTTGCACTAATCAAACTATTCAGAATGCATATTGAGATTTATATCGTGTACCCTCAAAAGAATGTTTGGAAGAGAAAATGAATTCATCATTGATCTAGCCATGTCTAACAAAGCCCTATTTCTCCTTGCAGAAACGCCAGACTTCTAAGGTGTTCTGGAAGAGTTCATTATGACCGAATTCTTTGACCTTTTAAATAAATCAGAAACTTTACTTAAGTACTCTTTGGGTTGCTATCCTTTTTCCTAGAAAAGGTTTATTAGTCAAGTTACTTGAAAGACAAGATTCACAATTTCCATATGACTCAAAAGCAAATGGTGTTAAATAATCTAATTTATTTAACGTTGCTATTCTTGTTTCATTAATTTGACCAAGTTTGCAATGTCATAGATAGGTAGTAATTTTTTTGATTACTTAATCGAGATCCTTTTATTTTATTCATTTAATATCTAATATGTCGATTGATAATTAACCATTCATAAGAAAAGCATTTCCACAACAACACCATTTTAAGAAAATAACAATTATTATTAGCAAAATGGAAACCGAAATCTTTTAATGTCTAACATATGAATGGAAATAATCTTCTTGGTAATAGAAGAAATAAAATAAAAATTATTTAATTCTAATCTAAAACCACTGGGCAAATCTAAACTATAAGATCCTATTACGTTCAGCAGCAACTTTTGCTCCAGCCTTCACGCATAGGGCAATTTTACCCAGTCCAACCGCTACACTGCTTCTCAGGCTTCTGCACAATTTTACAAATGTGTAAGCCATAAGTTGTATCTAATACTTTAACAATGAGAGTTAGTTATAGACATATTTATTTAATGATAAAAATACCTAAGCTTGAAGCACCCGGTGCTTTGGCTAGATTAGCCTTATACAGCTCACAATCTCTCTACCAATGCCCTTTCTCTTTGCAGTAGAGGCAAACATCCTTTGCAACCTTTGACTTCATATGACCTACACCTTTAGGCTTCAGAGCTGTAGGAGTAGGTCCAACCTTACCTTTCTTCTTTTCCTTATTCTTGTTCTTAGAACGAGATTTAGCATTAGAGCTTACCATAAGAACACTCTTTCCCTTAGAGGTTGATGCTTCATAAGACTTGAGCATGTTATGGAGTTCAGGCATGGTCGCCTTCGTTTTGTTCAAATTATAATTCACAATGAAGTTAGTAAATGAACTCGGAATAGAATACAAAATGATAGCAGCTAAGACGCGATCTCAAACTTAATTCTGGTGGTAGAACCTCTTTCAATTAAGCCAATCATTTTGAGGACGTGTTCAGACACGTTGCCACCGTCTTGAAGCCTACACTTGAAAATGTCTGTCAGAAGTTCATACTCTAGAGTCTGACTTTTTGAATCAAACAGACTTTTCAAGTGTTCAAGCATCTCGAAGGCGCTCATCCTATCATGCTGCCTTTGCAACTCCATAGATATTGCAGCCAACATAACACATTCCACAGTTTTAGCATCAGTAACGTGTTTCTCTCGAGCAGTCAGGTCAAACGTGGCAAACTCAGAAGAGTTGGCATCAAGAATCTTGGGTACCGGTGTGTCTAACACATACTCAATATTTTCTTGTCTAAGAACTAAACACGCATTTCTTTCCTAGTCCAAAAAGTTTGGTCCATTAAGCTTGCATGTATCCAAGATACTTACTTCTCAATGATAAATTCGACATTCCTAATGTTGGAAATATTAACAGTATTTCAAATGAATATACTATATATTACAATTAACTTATGTATACGTAGCTTTACTTTGGCTTCATGGTTGGAAATCATTAGCTTTATTATTTATGATTAATATGCTAACGTTAACTTTTATTTTACTCAAACGTTAATTCGGAAGTATGAAACGTTTTTTCTTCTTTTCAATACTTCAGCTTTAAAGCATATACAAAGCAAAACGTTACTGTGGCTTCATGGTTGCCCACTTTCTCAACGTTTAGTTTTATTCATGGAGCATTCATTATATGAACGGTTTATATTTGAAAGCAACGTTCAACATTTTCAAGTGTATATATATGTGTGTTCGGCTAGCTATGAAAAATATA